AAGTTCAGCGAAATTAACCGAAGCCACTCTTCCATTTAAAGCAGATATTCGAGTATTTTTTATTATATTATTACACCGACTTGGCTAGCCTATATCTTGGGGCCATGTGCTCACTGAAAGATTTGTTCGGGATGCCAAGACGCATAACTTATGAAAAATTCAGCGAAATTAATACGAGATACGATCTAAGAGTTTTGACAACAAAGTATCGAAAATATAGGATTTGAATTAAATGAATGATTTAATTGATTTGACTATATACACAAAACAGAATATAAAAGTTTCGGCATCAAATTATCGAAAATATGATATGATTTGAATTAAATGAATGATTAGATGTAAAAATGTATGCGAGTAAAAGAAAGAATAGGATTGAATTGAATAAAACTCGGTGGCAAAAAAACAAATCGAAAACACGCAGACAAAAGTATTAAGGAGAATTATATTATATGATTAACTGTTATTATTTACTATGGGTAAAGGGCAAAGCTTTACCGCCGAACGCGTGAGAAGCCCATGATGGTTTTTTAGTGTAACAACCGTGACATGATTGCCACGTCGACCAGGATGAGCTTCCATAACGCGTCCCAGCAACCAACGCAGTGGAGGCGTGTGGACTCATAATTGATTATTAAAGCACCTAATTTAATTTCCGTTTATGGGTAGTTCCACGTACAAGTTTCCAACGTTTCCAGAAATCTGAATTTAATCTCTGAATGAGCTGCCAACTACTAAGAGAATTTTGTTTACGGGAGTATAAATCAGGATCTGGACATGAATTTAAAGGTTATGTGGTTAAGAAATGCCCTGGAGTTAATGGAGCTAAATGCTTGTGGTCTGAACATTGAACACAAAGGGGCGAGAATTCAGTAATGTTTCTATGCGAGTTAGAAGGGTGTATAGTTCGAAGGTTAGTATTTGGTCTCCGATGACTCGATATAAATGGGTTTTAATGAATTTAACTACCCTTCGGTTAAACCGTTAAGATGGGGAGCTCCTGGTCTTTTTTTTTATACTCCAACTACCACGAAGGCCTAAACACCCATTGGGTACCGTGGGGCTATAGGGGGATACAGGGGAAAAGGGGAACGCCACACGGACTCTGGCGAGGGAACACGTGTGCATGCAACATGCACACATTCTGGCTCCGCCTACGAGATCCACCGGGTGGTACCTCCACGTTCGACAGTCAGAGACCATCTACCACCTACGGACAATCACAACATCCATAGCCAAGAGAAAAATTTCTCCTGGGACGGGACTCGAACCCGCACAGCGCACGGCGACTGATCAGGAGACCGAAGAGTCTACTACTGCGGCCACCGCTGCTGCCTAAGCGGTCTATTTAAATTTCATTTGTTTTTTAAGGTTTCGTCCGCAGACTTGGAGAGATTGTAAAGCTCACTAATAGACCCGACAAAATTTGTACCCTGATCACTTGTGATCTGCACGCAAGTGCCCCTTCTGGCTACAAAACGTCTTAACGCAGCAATACAAGCTTCTGTGGTTAAACAAGTTCGATATGAATTGATTTAAGATAAGTATCATCAAAGACGGCTATGTATGATTTTGAGACTGGCGCACCAAGACGCCGCTGTCCTACAGAGGTTTTTATTGGACCTGAATAGTCTAAACATACGTGTGAGGAGCATTTTAATTGAGAGGTTCGAAAATATGGTAAATAAGGCGTGTAGGGAATGTACGTTTTGCTTGAATAAGACGACAAATAATTTTTTGAATAGTATTCGAATTGCATAAGTCGTCAAATAATCCATAGAAAAATTATTTTGTTTGAATTTAGGCTGTAACTTAATCTAGTCTGGAACTTTCATCGATAAATCTTTTGATTTACCGTTTGGTAGTAGGCAAGGTTATCTAATGTGGACTATAGAACCAAAGGGGGGTGATTGACAAGATTTGTTGGCATTAATCCTCTGCTAATCTGCAGGGTTCTCGAGAGACGGTATAAGACACCACCGTACATTCGGAATATCAAAGGGTTTGATAAGACAAGCGTAATAAGCAACGTGACGACGTCATTCTAAATCCAATATCCAGCTGCAAGAACCTTCACTACTCTTAAACAAAATATGTTGCACAATGTTTGCTGAATGCTACAATTTTCATTTTTGCATATTTCGCAAATTTTAGATATCTGAAAAACTGCATTACGAAGTTTCGAGAATAAGATCCGTCAGAGTTAACATATTAAAGGCAAATATGATTTCAATAAATATGATTCAAAATTAATTGTATCATTAGCTTCAGTAATATTTGCGATTATATGCATTGCATAAAAAATAATTCAGACTTGAAGGGATTGTATTCCTATCATGTAAGGTCTATGTTTTAAGATTTACTGATATGTTAAGGATGAAAAAGCTTTATAATATATAATAAAAGTAAAAATCATTCCTTCGTTTTTTCATGTATGAGAGATTCCTGCTCATTTTCATATATACTCCTAGGATTGCTTCTACAGAATTTTTTTAAAGAAAACTGTTCATGGTTTATTATTCATAATATCTGAGGCACATTTATATTCACAATCAAAATCAAAACCCCAACTTTGCTGACACCCTGTATAGGTCCCTTTAAAAGAAAAATTATAAGGCACAATTGTGGGTTTTTTCTTATTAGTTGTTGAGCTATTGGTTATTTGATGTTGCAAAACACCAGCGTTTGATACCCTTCATGTCTATTTCGAAGTATGTAGTGTTTGACAAGCGCACAAAACGTACTTTTCTCAAAAAAAAAAAATCGGAACATGTTGAATTTGCCTTGCGATAGGATAACGAGCTTATCCACATGTCGTAGCGTTTTGTGCCCGTCTTGGTATTAACTCATTCACTACCAGGTTCAGCAGTAACGGGGATGGATCACCGCCTGCGGGCACCCTCGGATGACTTGAGCCACTAAGCAGCTTCTGTCGACTTGCCTGCTGTACAGACATCCTGGTCCGAATACATAGGGCTGTTTACCAGAGCATTATCCCGTATATATATATAGCAGTTTTTCCAAAATCATCGAGAAAGTCATCAGAATTATAGGTCTGAGTGATTTTGCATCTCCCTGTCCTGTGTTAGTAGGATTAGGTACAAAAACAACTCTGAGCCTTCACGAGAGGCAGCTTTACTGTGCTGGAGGTTAGCCTGAAGAACCCTGATTATCTCCATCAAGTCCTCTCAACACCCTGAAGTGTACCCTCCCGAACAATTGGAAGGCCCGGAGAACATTACTAAACACATCCTTCTTGTGACCAGATCCTTTGGGTTATGTCCGGATGACATCTGTCAATTACCGCCAACCCGTCGGAATCTGCCTCACTATAGGACAGGCAGGCTCTTAAGTTTTTGTTTTTTTGGGGAGTCTTGAGTCTACTCGGGGTCTTTTATCACTTGCCTGACTCTTCCCCACTAGTTTAGCTTTCTTTGGGCCTGTTTGTGCTCCAGGAAGTTTGGCCAAGAATCCCTTGCTGCCATTGCCTTTATTCTTGTTTTTGTGACGGCTTTGGATGTTTAGTACGTCATAAGAAGTTATCTTGGGAACTGGCATTGATATTGGTAATGCTTTTGCCCATCACCTGAGAGTCAGTCGGGACTCTAGCCTAGACCCGCCAGGATTAGCGTGACAGGGCAACTGCGTGAAAGGTGCAAAGGATTGCACGTTGACGGAAGGATGACCAGAGGTTTCATTATCTGATCATCCTCCGTCCCCTCCTGGACGACCTCAGAAGTCGTAACACTCCCCTGTGGATGGAATAGGTATTAATTTTCGATATCTCTCCCAACCCCTTGACCCAGTGCCAGCAGGTTAAAACTCCATATGTGTCTGAAAGTCAAATGAAACCACATACGTAGGAATGACTTCTTACCTGGGTATTCAAAATTAAAATTTAATTTGTACATCAAAAGGGCCATTGAGATGGTTTAGACGTAATTCCTACCTATGTGGTTTCATTTGGAGGCCAGTGGACACATGGAGTTTTATCAGCACGAAAACCACAGGATACGTTAATTGTGAGCATAAGTGGTTGGGTGGAATATGCTTATGTTTTTGATACAACATGAATAGTCTAAACAATATGGGGTAAATACCTGAGGCCAGGTAACGATAATCGTTTATTTTATTTTTTTATTACTAGGTTAAGGAAACGCCTCCTTCGAGCGATGCCGCCGCATCCCCTCTTAAAAGAGGAAGAAAGCAAAAAGAGCGCGATGAGGTGAGTTTTTGAAATTTGATAGGAAAATGTAAATTTAAGAGACAAAATACGCATTTTACTACTACTTCAGTCATATTTTTTCCAACATGTTTTCACTGGAGGCAAGATTCCAATACATATTAACTTAATGTTCGTAGGTAAAATAGTTGTCAAAATGAATTTGCACGGATTTTGATCGGTTAAAGTCCCACCTGACAGTTTCTTAGCTTTCACGATCTTCCTTTGGGCTCCTGGAAGCTTTCTCCATTCTTTCTTCTGCGGTCCCATCCCACTGTCGTGCCCTAAATTAACTTCCACGACAGTTTCGTCCTTAAGAGTTCTCTCCGAAAAATTCGGGTCCCTCTCCGATTCCAGTACCTCTTCATCATTTTGTTTTTTTATCCACAGGATAAGTTAATTGTGAGCAAGTGGTTGGGTGGAATATGCTTAGGTTTTTGATACAACATGAATAATAATCTAAACAATATGAGGGTTGAATACCTGAGGCCATGTAACCATAATCGTTTGTTTTATTTTATTTTTTTATTAGAATGCTAAGGAAACTCCTGCTTCGCGGGATGCCGCCGTGGCCCCTCGCAGAAGAGGCAGACCACGGAAGACCCCGGATGAGGTGAGTTTTTGACATTTGATAGGAAAATCGACATTTAAGAGATAAAATACGGATTTTACTCGCTGTTATTATTCTAATTGATACATTCTTATAAAAAATTGTGCCATACCCAAATTTTCATCTGGATTCATGGAATATGCTAACGGAATTGAATCGGTCGTTCTAAACACCAGTCAAATGAAACCACATACGTAGGAGTGACTTCTTACGAGCGTTTCGGCTACCTGGGTATCCTAAATTAAAATTTAATTTGTACATCAAAAGGGCCATTGAGATTGCTGAGACGAAGTAATTGCTACGTATGTTATTTTATTTGGAGGCCAATGGACACATGGAGTTTTATCAGCCCGAAAACCACAGGATAAGTTAATTGTGAGCAAGTGGTTGGGTGGAATATGCTTAGGTTTTTGATATAACATGAATAATAATCTAAACAATATGAGGGTTGAATACCTGAGGCCATGTAACCATAATCGTTTGTTTTATTTTATTTGTTTATTAGAATGCTAAGGAAACTCCTGCTTCGCGGGATGCCGCCGTGGCCCCTCGCAGAAGGGGCAGACCACGGAAGACCCGCGATGAGGTGAGTTTTTGACATTTGATAGGAAAATCGACATTTAAGAGATAAAATACGGATTTAACTCGCTGTTATTATTCTAATTGATACATTCTTATAAAAAATTGTGCCATACCCAAATTTTCATCTGGATTCATGGAATATGCCAACGGAATTGAATCGGTCGTTCTAAACACCAGTCAAATGAAACCACATACGTAGGAGTGACTTCTTACGAGCGTTTCGGCTACCTGGGTATCCTAAATTAAAATTTAATTTGTACATCAAAAGAGCCATTGAGATTGCTGAGACGCAGTAATTGCTACGTATGTTATTTTATTTGGAGGCCAGTGGACACATGGAGTTTTGTCAGCCCGAAAACCACAGGATAAGTTAATTGTGAGCAAGTGGTTGGGTGGAATATGCTTAGGTTTTTGATACAACATGAATAATAATCTAAACAATATGAGGGTTGAATACCTGAGGCCATGTAACCATAATCGTTTGTTTTATTTTATTTTTTTATTAGAATGCTAAGGAAACTCCTGCTTCGCGGGATGACGCCGTGGCCCCTCGCAGAAGAGGCAGACCACGGAAGACCCCCGATGAGGTGAGTTTTTGACATTTGATAGGAAAATCGACATTTAAGAGATAAAATACGGATTTTACTCGCTGTTATTATTCTAATTGATACATTCTTATAAAAAATTGTGCCATACCCAAATTTTCATCTGGATTCATGGAATATGCTAACGGAATTGAATCGGTCGTTCTAAACACCAGTCAAATGAAACCACATACGTAGGAGTGACTTCTTACGAGCGTTTCGGCTACCTGGGTATCCTAAATTAAAATTTAATTTGTACATCAAAAGGGCCATTGAGATTGCTGAGACGAAGTAATTGCTACGTATGTTATTTTATTTGGAGGCCAATGGACACATGGAGTTTTATCAGCCCGAAAACCACAGGATAAGTTAATTGTGAGCAAGTGGTTGGGTGGAATATGCTTAGGTTTTTGATATAACATGAATAATAATCTAAACAATATGAGGGTTGAATACCTGAGGCCATGTAACCATAATCGTTTGTTTTATTTTATTTGTTTATTAGAATGCTAAGGAAACTCCTGCTTCGCGGGATGCCGCCGTGGCCCCTCGCAGAAGGGGCAGACCACGGAAGACCCGCGATGAGGTGAGTTTTTGACATTTGATAGGAAAATCGACATTTAAGAGATAAAATACGGATTTAACTCGCTGTTATTATTCTAATTGATACATTCTTATAAAAAATTGTGCCATACCCAAATTTTCATCTGGATTCATGGAATATGCCAACGGAATTGAATCGGTCGTTCTAAACACCAGTCAAATGAAACCACATACGTAGGAGTGACTTCTTACGAGCGTTTCGGCTACCTGGGTATCCTAAATTAAAATTTAATTTGTACATCAAAAGAGCCATTGAGATTGCTGAGACGCAGTAATTGCTACGTATGTTATTTTATTTGGAGGCCAGTGGACACATGGAGTTTTGTCAGCCCGAAAATCACAGGATAAGTTAATTGTGAGCAAGTGGTTGGGTGGAATATGCTTAGGTTTTTGATACAACATGAATAATAATCTAAACAATATGAGGGTTTTTTTATTAGAATGCTAAGGAAACTCCTGCTTCGCGGGATGACGCCGTGGCCCCTCGCAGAAGAGGCAGACCACGGAAGACCCCCGATGAGGTGAGTTTTTGACATTTGATAGGAAAATCGACATTTAAGAGATAAAATACGGATTTTACTCGCTGTTATTATTCTAATTGATACATTCTTATAAAAAATTGTGCCATACCCAAATTTTCATCTGGATTCATGGAATATGCCAACGGAATTGAATCGGTCGTTCTAAACACCAGTCAAATGAAACCACATACGTAGGAGTGACTTCTTACGAGCGTTTCGGCTACCTGGGTATCCTAAATTAAAATTTAATTTGTACATCAAAAGGGCCATTGAGATTGCTGAGAAGAAGTAATTGCTAAGTATGTTATTTTATTTGGAGGCCAATGGACACATGGAGTTTTGTCAGCCCGAAAACCACAGGATAAGTTAATTGTGAGCAAGTGGTTGGGTGGAATATGCTTAGGTTTTTGATACAACATGAATAATAATCTAAACAATATGAGGGTTGAATATCTGAGGCCATGTAACCATAATCGTTTGTTTTATTTTATTTTTTTATTAGAAGGCTCCTCCTTCGCGGGATGCCCCCGTAGCCCCTCGGAGAAGAGGCAGACCACGGAAGACCCGCGATGAGGTGAGTTTTTGACATTTGATTGGAAAATCGACATTTAAGAGACAAAATACGGATTTTACTCGCTGTTATTATTCTAATTGATACATTCTTATAAAAAATTGTGTCATACCCAAATTTTCATCTGGATTCATGGAATATGCCAACGTAATAGAATCGGTCGTTCCAAAAACTACTTCAGTCATATTTTTTCCAAGATGTTTTCACTGGTGGCAAGATTCCAATATATACGAACTTCATGTTCGTAGGTCAAATAGTTGTCGAGATAAATTTCTAAGCATTTGCACGGATTTTGGTCCGTTAAAGTCCCACCTGCCAGTTTCCTAGCTTTCACGATCTTAATTATTTGGGCTCCTAAAAGTTGTCTTCATTCTTTCTCCTGCGATCCTATCCCATTGTCGTGTCGTGAATTTCAGCTTCCATGACGGTATCTTCCTCAAGAGTTCCATCTGTTTTCCTCCTCTCTTCTACTTCATTTCATTTTTTGTGGTCCAGCTTTTCCCACGAGTACCTCCCACTGATCTATCAGGAGGATAAGGGGCAATCTGATTCCTAGGAGGCTCCCTTTAAGACACCGTCTCAGCCGGTGTCATTCAGCCCTCAGCACGGAATACATACCACTTTGGCTTGTGGGGGTCTTCATTTCGCTTCGAATGTTTAGTAAGATTCCCTAAAAAATGATTTTTGAGAACTGGCACTGATACTGGTAATGCTGTTGCCCATCACCTGAGAGTCATTCGGGACTAACCTAGACCCTCCAGGATTAGCGTGACAGGGCAACTGCGTGAAAGGTGCAAAGGATTGCACGTTGACGGAGGGATAGCCAGAGGTTTCATTATCTGATCATCCCCTGTCCCCTCCCGGACAATCTCAGAAGTCGTAACACTCCCCTGAGGATGGAATAGGTATTATTTTTCGATATCTCATGAGGGCCACACCAACCCCTTAACCCAGTGCCTGCAGGTTAAAACTCCATATTTGTCTGACGATCAAATGAAACCATACGTAGGTATGACTTCTTACGAGCGTTGCGACTGCCTCCGTATCGGAAATTGAAATTTAACTTGCACTTCAAAAAGTCATCAAGGTGGCCGAGGCGTTAGTAGAGAAGTTCCTACTTATATGGTTTCATTCCGAGGCCAGTGAAACATGGAGTTTTATCAGCATGAAAACAACATGATAAGTTAATTGTGAGCATATGTAGTTGGCGGCGTAACGGTACCTACATTCCGTGGAATATGCGTATGTATTTGTTACAACATGAATAATGTCTAGTGTGCGTCTTCTAGCCAATATGTGGGTTAAATACTCCAGAACAGGTAACCGTAATAGGTTATTTTTTCTAGGATAAAGAAACTCCTGTCGCCGCCGCAACCTCCCTCAAAAGGAGATATCCTAGAGAATGGGACCAGGTGAGTTTTAGACATTTGATAGGAAAATCGACATCTAAGGCGCGTATCGTCAGTCGTTCCTACAATAATTGTAGGACGTCTTTATGGCCTCCTTGATTGTCATTGTTTTCTACTTTTCCGTGTCAGCGCTGTACGTTGAGGTTATGTCACAAATCAAATTGTGCATGTTTTTGAGTTATATCATGTTTCATACGCCTGAAATTGCCTACAATTTAAAAAGAAAACATATCTTCATAATAGGAGAATCTAGAAATTTTTGGAATGAGAGAAAGGAGTATGACAATCAAGGCCCTAAGAGACGAAATATGCATTTTACTGGCTTTTAATATTCAAGTTGATATACCATTATCGAATATTGTGTCGTATCTAAAGCAATTTTCATTACGAATGATCGAATATGTCAACGGAATTGAATCGGTCGTTCCAAAAACAGCTTCTGTCATTTTTTCCAACATTTTTTTTTTGAGGCGAGATTTCAATATATACGAACCTCATGTTCGTAGGGCAGATAGTTGTCGAGATGAATTTCTAAACATTTGACGTGGGTTCTTTATGTACAGATTTTGATCCGTCTAAGACACATCTGTCAGTTTCGTAGCTTTCACCATCTTCCTTTGGGCTCCTGGAAGCTTTCTCCATTCTTTCTTCTGCGGTCCCATCCCACTGTCGTGCCCTAAATTAACTTCCACGACAGTTTCGTCCTCAAGAGTTCTCACCGAAAAGTTCGGGTCCCTCTCCGATCCAAATCTCTCTTCACGAGTACCAAGTTGCTTCGGTCCAGGATTAGCGTGACAGGGCAACTGCGTGAAAGGTACAAAGGATTGCACGTTGACGGAGGGATAGCCAGAGGTTTCATTATCTGATCATCCCCTGTCCCCTCGCTGACAATCTCAGTCGTAACACTCCCCTGAGGATGGAATAGGTATTAATTTTCGATATCGCATGAGGGCCACACCAACCCCTTGACCCAGTGCCAGCAGGTCCATATTTGTCTGACGATCAAATGAAACCATACGTAGGTATGACTTCTTACGAGCGTTCCGACTGCCTCCGTATCGAAAATTGAAATTTAACTTGCACTTCAAAAAGTCATCACGGTGGCCGAGACGTTAGTAGAGAAGTTCATACTTATATGGTTTCATTTTGAGGCCAGTGAAGCATGGAGTTTTATCAGCACGAAAACTACTCGTACATGATAAGTGTGAGCATATGTAGTTGGCGGCTTAACGGTACCTTGGAATATGCGTATGTTTTTGTTACAAACTGAATAGTGTCTAGTGTGCGTCTTCTCGCCAATATGGGGGTTAAATACTCCAGAACAGGTAACCATAATAGGTTTTTTTTTAGGATAAAGGAACTCCTGCCGCCGCTGCAACCTCCCTCAAAAGGAGATATCCCAGAGAATGGGACGAGGTGAGTTTTTGACATTTGATAGGCCCGTACCGTCAGTCGTTCCTACAATAATTGTAGGACGCCTTTATGGCCTCCTTGATTGTCATTGTTTTCTACTTTTCCGTGTCAGCGCTGTACGTTGAGGTTATGTCACAAATCAAATTGTGCATGTTTTTGAGTTATATCATGTTTTATCCGCCTGAAATTGCCTACAATTTAAAAAGAAAACATATCTTCACAATAGGAGAGCGCTGACACAGAACAGGTACAATCTAAAAAATTTTGAAGGAGAGAAAGGAGTATGACAATCAAGGAGACCATAAAGGCGTCCTACAATTTTAGGAACGACTGACGATACGGCCCTAAGAGACGAAGTACGCATTTTACTGGCTTTTAATATTCAAGTTGATATACCATTATCGAATATTGTGCCGTATCTAAAGCAATTTTCATTACGAATGATCGAATATGCCAACGGAATTGAATCGGTCGTTCTAAAAACCACTTAGTAATATTTTTCCTCATGATGTATTGTTTGTTGTCAAGATTTGAATACTTACGAACTTATGTTCGTATGTCGAATAGTTTTCTAAAAATTTAGCTTGAAGAAGTGTACGACTCCCCATAGGAATATTCAACTCTCTTCTCTCTTCTCCATCTTGAGGATATTATTTCTGGGATTCTTTGTTAACAGTCATTCATATTTTAAAGATACAATTATGGACAAAACTTACTTTCACTTCGAGAGCTGACTTAATTTGAAATAGTGTAGGTTCGAGCTGAATCGAATCTGTTTGCTTTGTGTCTGTGTGACCATCGCCAACCGTATACATCTTTGTTTGATGTGTTTTAGCAATCAGTAGAACGGTATCGGTCTAATCATTTGGATACTGATGTAAAGCAAGCAAGCGAAATTAGTCTTGAAAAACTCGTTATTTTAATGTGCGAAAAATAAACCAAACGCCACCTATGAGCAGTTTCGCCAATTTGTCTCCAAAGAATTATACCTATACCGTACCGATAATTACTAAAAAGCATGAAACAATGTGTATACGTTTTATCTGCGGTCGCAGAGCTAAGAAAGCTAATATACCTTATTCAGCACCTGATTAGTTTTTGCAATGTTTGCATAGTACTAATAGCACGGTGAGTACTTCGTACCTCCTCATAGCATCTTAGAATGAGTTTACCCTTCCTCTCATGGTGGTAGTTTATAATATAGCTAGCAAAACGAGTGTGGTGCTAGGAATCAATTTGGCGGGCGGTAAAAAAACTCTGTCGATGTCTGTAAATTAAGTGTTGAGACTGGTACCGTAGGGTTCGATTTGGCAACACTGGAGGCTCCAGGCTTGAAGGTGAGACATGGCAATATGTGATCCGCCTTAAGGACAAGTTTAAACTCACTCGAGTCATTTGATTGTCCGTAGCGAGTTCTTTGTCAAATAATTTTTCCTACTGTGGTCTAAAAATGAATGACATCAATTTCGAGCAACGGTGTGCTACCAGGTTGTGCTTGAGACTTGGGCAGGCAGCAGCGGTGGCCGCAGTAGTAGACTCTTCGGTCTCCTGATCAGTCGCCGTGCACTGTGTGGGTTCGAATCCCGTCCAAGGGGAAATTTTTCTCTTGGCTATGGATGTTGTGATTGTCCGTAGGTGGTAGACGGTCTCTGGCTGTCGAACGCAGAGGCGGATCTCCTAGGCGGAGCCAGAATGTGTGCATGTTGCATGCACACGTGTTCCCTTGCCAGAGTCCGTGTGGCGTTCCTCCTTTCCCCTGTATCCCCCTATAGCCCCACGGTACCAATGGGTGTTTAGGCCTTCGTGGTAGTTGGAGTATAAATAAATAAAAAAAAAAACGGGAATACTTGCTAAACTCATCAGCCTACGGAGAAAAACTTTCGTTTTTTGCATTTTTTGCCCATTATTTTTCAATATTATATCCTTTCGCAAGATCCTTTCTTATATATACAGGGTGTCCGCAAAGTTGGGGTTTTCCTTTTCAGAAACAACTACCCTTGAAATAACAAAGGTAATGTGTAGTGAAACGAGGGCGACCAAGTAAAAAAAAATAAAGGAAAAAGTACTCACTCTCCAGTTGACGAGAAGGGCTAAGTACGTCTCTGCCCGAAATCATACCGCTCCAACAGAAAATGAAATCAGCTGATGCGCTACCGAGCAGACGCAGGAAAACAAGGAAGGCAAAATGTTTCGTAAAAAGTCTAGGTATTGCATCCCGTCCAATCGATTTGGGAGAATAAATGGTCCAATGAGCATACCGTTCACCATGCCAGCCCAAACATTCACCGAAAATGTTTTTTGAAAATGTGCCCGACGGACAGCGTGCGGATTTTCTACTGACCAAACATGAGTGTTGCGAAATTTATTCACCCCATTACGCGTGAACGTAGATTCGTCTGTCACCAATATGCACTTCAAAAAGTCCGGATTATTGTCATGTTGATGCAACAACCACTCACAAAACCGCACTCTTGCTGGAAAATCGTCAGGTTGAAGGGCTTGTACACGTTGGACGTGAAACGGACACAGCCCCTTTTCACGCAGCGTTTGCCACACTTTTGTTTTTGATACTTGCACGTCTCTAGTGCTTGTTGAGGGATTCACGTCTACGCGATTATCTCTACACGCGTGACCGTAACCGTCGGTTGAAGGTTGCATACTGACCTGACACACTGACCCCGACCCAGTTCTGTCGTCGGGTTGAGCTAGTGTCCTAGTACCTCTGGGGGATGTCGCGGCTACAGGACGGTATTCAGATATTTTTGATGTTGCAGAGCCCTTTATCTCGGTTCCCTTAAGACATTGGTATATATGGTACTAAGAAAAATTGCTTATGTTTTCAAGATCTACACGTCGTGTAAAGGAAAACCCCAACTTTGCGGACGCCCTGTATATATATATATATATACAGGGTGACTTTGAAGTTGAGTCATTAATTTTCAGATAATGATTGTAGAAGGAAGATAAACCAAAATATGTGTGTAAAAATTAAAAAAAAAATGTTACCTTGTTTTATAAAGTATCCTCCCGACAAGTATTTCAGTGCGGACCTGTATTTGATCGTGCGGTCTTGGATAACCGGCAGGTCTTAAGTCACCTGATTCACGAGCCCTTTGTACTACATTAACAAAGGCACGAGTGGTTGGTTGCACTCGATTGGGCAGCATTTTGTAAAGACTCCCCCCCGTAAATAAGAATCATGTCCACAAGTGTAGCATTTTCGTAAACATGTGCCATTTTTTATTTCGTTTGAGCCACGCAACAAACACCACTACGCGTTACTGACTGACGAAAAACATCGTGATAAACGTTTCAAATTCTTTCGCTTTTTTGTTTCCGATGCGATGAACCGGTCAGGCGGATTATATCCGTTGTCGCCAAACACGAGCATATTATATTATTATTGAGACAGGGCGGTACTCAAACTTCTAAAGGGCTATAACTTTGTTAATTTAATTTTACCAGAAAAATGTTAAAGGAAAAAAACGTTTCTTTTGATCAGATCTACTCACTGTTAAAATAAATGACTCAACTTCGAAGTCACCCTGTATATATATATATATGTATATATATATATATATATGTATATACACACGAATATGTATCATTCCCATTTTGAACTGTTCTTGAAATGCTTTCCCTTTTTTGATAGGTGCCCGTTGAGAACATAGCTGAGAAGAAAAAAGAGGGGCCTTCTTTTGGTAAGTAACTATATTATCGTAGTATTGTAATTATAAGAAATACTTTAAGAACTAGTACTATTTCACAAATAAACATCTTTAATCATGCACTGACCAAGTAGGTCAGTACAACTAAACAAAATTTTACTTAAACGAATTGGAAAATTTACTATGTGACAGCTAGCAAAAATATTCCCCATTTCTCAGAACCTGCATCTATCAAATTAGTCTAAACTCAATCACTCAATTAAAGTTAAACTATTGCTTACATCATTTTATTTAAAATTAGTTTACCTGCTCTCAGTGAAACCGTTTGAATATTGTTGTTGAAACTTAAATTAATTAGTATACATATAACTATTGGCCTAGTTCAAGTGAATTTTTTTATTTATATTTAAAAATTTATTTGAATATACGATAAAAAAAAATAATTTTAATTTTATTCAATGATGTATAAATAAACGCAAGTTAAGTTCTCCCTAAAAAATGCTCGGCTATCCAAAACAATAGTTTTATTTGTCGTGATCTACTTTACAGTGTGTTGGTCTTATGTGTATCGTAGGCGAATGCCTTCTTCGCGCGACTCCGCGTGTCAAGTGTTATTCCCCATAGTGTTCCTGTCCCGACACACCTAGAGATACTCAAGATGCCCACTACCATAAAGTCTCTCGAGAGCGATTTACGCGGCGTGGATCTGCGTTGTTAATAAAAAGAAAATAATAATACACAAAAAAACAATATTTGCAAATGCACTTACATGAATTGTGTTATGTTTTGTCATCATTTGTAATCTAACTTACAAATATGCGAATTGCATTCATTATAGTCCTTTAACAGCTTTGCCAGGTCATGTGTGGTTAATAACTAGATTAGCCCTTACTAGAATGTTGATTTTCCGTATAGCTGTTATTGTGCAGTTATCCCGTTGTTTGTTAGTGTAGCTGGAAAATATTTCGTTATGAACAATAACTGTCTGTATTGATGTCCTCGAATTGAACCGAAGTATTATACCTACATGGCTCAATCTAAATTGGGAATTGTCAGTTTATAGATTATTACTCAGCTATTCATAAATGTATACATTGTAGTTTAACTAGATATGCCAAAAGTGTGAGTAATGTGTGTGGGTAAACAGAAAAGGTACTGAATGTACAAGTATACTTGTTTCTGCAAGTTTTTGGTTTCGTCTGTTCCTATAATCTTCCAACCTTAGTTGCTATCCCTTCTCAAGGATTGTAGTATTCCATATTTGGAATGCTGTAGCTCCTAAATACACGTTAGTCCTCCAACTTTATTTAATAATAATGTTTATTGGAGTATTAATACATAATAGAATCAAAATACGAACAAATAATATAACACAAAAAAAATTTCTTAAGAATCACCTTTTATGAAATACCTGAACAAATTCTTGGTTATTTTGGTAGTCTTTCTATTAAGGGCCCCATATACAATGATTTAATCCATTAATCTCGTCACTATTTGGACTGAAGAGCTTTACACCAGCATGCTGAAGAGCAGCAGGAATACATGTCTATGTTCCCCCTCGTTAAACAATTACGTACCACAGAAAAGAAGCCATTTCAATGGTTCTTCACAAATAACTAAATAACAGTAACAATTACCAACAGACTGACTATTTATACTAAGTATTTACAAGAAATAAGCAAAAATAGTGGAACAAATTAACATTGAACTAAACGGCAATCCCGTTTACGATTGTCCTGCAACCAATAGGAAGCGAGGACGTGACGTCATGCGAAGAATACCTATCAGTCGCTTGTTTTTACCATTGGTTATTTTGGCAACATTGTGAAATTAGTCATGCGCATTAGCTAAATCCCATTCTTCTGGAATTTGCCTCCGTGGTTTTGGCTTTTTCGTTTTAAAACCGGATTGTTCATCGCCCTTTGGTCATTGAAAATTTTGCTAATAAACGGATTTTTTGATATAACAAATGTTAAAGTTTTCCACTCTTGACCTGTTTCATATTGATCAATATTTTGATCTTTGGCCAGTTAGTAATCAATGCCGATTACTAATTAATGTTCTGACTTCGTTTTCTTTTTTTATTAAGGGGACACCACCTACCAGCGTTGTCAGTAATTTTTTTAATGAAATTGCTTTGGGTTTGAATTGTCATGCAATATGCTTGGTAGTTCGCCCTGTGGAAGAAAATAAACAGTTCAGACATGAACACAGAACAACCTTTCTTTCTTTCCTTAACTTTTGTTGCCATGTGGATGCATCTTCGAAAGCTTGTGCTTTGTGTCAGTGCAAATATAGTAACCGTGGCTCAGTGCTGTCGGTGTAGCAGTGTACGTATATATCTTGATAAAGTGGGGGTTGGGCATGAAGTCATATGCTGAGTTTCACCATTTGCACTTTATGATGTTTGTGTTGTGTCGTATTAATTAATACTGACTCCATACTTTATGTAATGTATAATTTTTGTCATTTCCTGTCTTGATAGAAACTGAAAAAATGGAGTATAAGGAGCACCCAAACAACCCAATGATGATGTGGGGATACTCTCCAGTAATGGACAGGGTGTTCCTGTTATTGAAGCCAGGGGGCGAGAAGCCCCTGGCTAAAAACAATATATCCGAAATGGTAAGTTATCCTTTTTTTGAATTTACAAAGAGCTTACAACTGATTTTGGCTGGCGATAAGAAATTCTCGTACAATATTTTAGGGATGCACCAAGCACTAATTTATGCTGATAATTGAGTGCCGAATACTGGGCCAGGTTCCACTACCGGCAGGGTTATTACGTAAAAAAACTATATAATGTGAAAAAAATACGAAAAAATGTCAACTTGCTGACTACATAGCAAATAGTTTGCAAATAGTTTGCAAATAGTTCATTCCGTTATTGTTAGCTGTGAGCATCACCATAACGTCATCCATTGAGGAATGACTCAACGATCGTTCTGTTTAAGATGCTGCAGCTCACCGTTCGGCAACATCGATAACTCTGGCACAACATAACCTATATCCTTGTATCAAGTTTCAAAAATATTCGTTTTCTTTTTTAATTATTGTTAGCATATATACTTGGACTTGAGATTCGGGCAATTTATTTTTTACTATGTATAGTGAATATTGTATAATATACAGGCAAGTATAAAATAATTCTGTCAGATTTCCTGAAATTCATTGATTATTGACATTGAACGATTGAACTTGAAACTGTTCAACAAGTACATAGGCACAGCAGCTTTATTGATGTAGTTTCTTAAACTGGAGTTGTATTTTTCACTTATAACTCTTTATAGTGGGTATGATTATCAAAACCACGTAGTGATTTAATAAGTAGCAAGCCTTCAATGTACTTGATTTGACTATATGCAATTTATTTGATACAAGTGATATTCAGGATTACTAAATGTGCTTGTACGAGTATTTTATTATTGAATTTCCCAGAATTAATGCATCAGTACCACAGATGAGCAGAAAAAGGTTTGCAGGACATTTTGTCATATCTGATATGGATTCCAAAGACTAAGAAATTCATGTACGTTTTTGCACAATTGGTGGAGCAAGGCTCTGACATCCATAGATACTATGTCTGTTTATAATGGTTCTAGAGTTTGACATGCAAATAATTTGTGAGTAAATCATTGGAATTCATTATGTGTTTGAATTGATAAGTATCAAATTATTAACTAAACCTGTCAATCGTGTGAATTAGTAGGTATTTATTTATGAATGAAACATATTATTGAGTAAAATTGGCACACAGTGATCACTGGAACTCCTCTAAGTTTTACTAGTAATACAGCTTTCATCCAACCGGCCACAGGTATGTTGTGCTTTTTCGCATCTCATTAGCATGATGTAGGTTTGGTCTCAGGTGGGACACTGAACGAAAGCTGAGCAACTATTCTCTATTCGAGGTTCAAGACAGCGCAAAGTGCCATCTTTTGCCACTATTATAGTGGTTGATTCTGGTAAAAGATGTCACTTTATGCTGTGTTATTTCGATAGACCCTCTATGTTTGGATTTTTGGACCGACTTGCAGCACTTTCTGAAGAGATCAAAGGTATTTAGTATGCTCAAAAACTTATAGATTTAATTCACAAGCTTCTTTGTTACTTGTGAGAGCAATATTGTTTGCAACACATTTTTCATAGTTTTATATTAGCCGTTGATTTTCAAAAATTGTTAGAGGCTACATATATGTAATTGGCCAGACACCAATTAATGGAAATCACAAAATCATTCTACTTGATTCCATTTTTAACTAATATATTCCATATTATCACAGCTGTATTTTTCAGTTTAAGGTTCTTTAAGATATATGTCCAGATTAATTCATTCGTCAGTTGACTCGACGGGCCAGAAATTCCATAGTGGAATACTACATAGTATCGTTAATATCACATACCTCCGCCACTATTGAGCTTATTTTGATTAAATTTTGCACAATGACAAAGTAACCCTTAAGTTCCAAAAAACTAGTCGGAAAAATAAAAGATTCAGGACCGAACTTTGTATTTAAACTTTTTTGTATTACATCAAAATTATTGAAATGTTTGATTACCTATAAAAAAGCCAATGAATAGTGCTTATCGATTATCAAAATAGACTGATTTCGCTTGTTTTGGTTATTTGGTTAATTTTTTTTGTTATTCAAATTCTAAATATTTTGCTGTGTCCCTTTAACGCAGAACTCAGGTTGTACAAGATCAGTTCGTAGAATTCAATCATTAAAATATATACAAATTCAGTAAATAGGGTGCATATCATTATTTTACTTCTTATTTGTATCATTTAAATTTCTTTTTTCTGCAAAATAATCCTCAGTTCAGTGTATTGAATTCCACTTAATACAATACAAACAAATAAAATAAAAAACTGAGTATTAGGTACGCATCGCAGTTGATGAAGGGCAGAAAGAATATTATTAACCTAAAGGTTAACAATTTCGGTGAACACGAATGAGTTCCATTCCATATTCCAGTCAAGTCTCTCCACACTCCATACCAATCGTTGCCGACGATACTGTGGGGTCAGAGGTAGTACTCGATGGGGACGGTATGAAAATAGTCCAAAAGACCTTATTCGGCGATAAACTGTCCTAATTGTTATTGCCTTTCCGACAGCGTCAAACCACTGGTTAGCAACTGCTCTTGTTGTGGAAAATCGATCTATAATTGCTAGATGTCTCACATAACTATCCTGTTGCTCTGTAGTCTGTCTTTGATCAATTCCAGTACTTCTAACTCGGCGATTTTGGCCTTCTTGAAACCACGCTCGACATCTCATTACACTAGCTTCGTTTAGATTCACCCGATTAGCGATTTCCCTAAAAGAAAATCCGGCTTCACATAACCCGATTATCCGACCACTCTCAAAATCGGAAAATTGAGTGAAATTAGCGCGTCTGTGAACTGCAGGCATAATGATGCAATGAAACAAATGGAACCAACACAGAAAAATCAGTGAATATTGAGTAAACATGTGAATGTTCGGATACTGATATGAGCAAAAACCTTTACAAAAAAGTACGGCTAGGAATGCCTTCAACATTTTATCAGCGTATAGTTCCATGATAGCAAATATGTCTACAAGTTTTAATCAAAATTCGATAAATAATTCTGGGTGTTGCATTTTGTATGTCACTTGGTATAAAATGAGTTCCGTGAATAATTGCTTTTCGTAATTGAATGTTTTGTCTTATTTTCAGGCTTTCATAAACATAGTTTTGTGAGATGTTTTCTCCATAGTTTCATTTTAGATAAACGGTACATTTTAATAATTCCAATTAATGTACGGGGAAGGTCCACATTTGACCATTTTTCTCAGGGCACACAAAACTCTGAATCCGACCCTGGCTTGGCTATAAATGGCCACAAGCGTGCCAACCCTGGAACAGAGGTTACATCACACGAACCAAATAGCTCAAGTGTGTTGGCGTTTTAAGCAATATGTATA